AGGGAAGATAATGCCAAATGTAAATAAAAATAATAAAATTTTAAATATGTATTTAATAAGAACCAACTTTGTAATCCTGTACAAAATTACAAAATTTCAGAAAGATTTTATGAAAATATACTTTGGTAAATAATTTAATTTGTTGTTCTTACAAGTCAACAAAAACTCTAAACTAATTTGCAACTGTTTGTAAACAGATGTTTGGACTCTTTTATATATTTATTATGTCATATTCTGCTGTTTCCTGTTTACAGCACGACAATTTTTAGATATTGATTACTTGGCTTTCAAATACTTGGCAAACCAGAAAAAGTAAAGGAAGAAATATTGTCAAAGAGGACAACTAGTTGTTTGAACAACTCCAACCAATTAACTTACAGGCAATTATCAACAAGACCACATATGGGAAAGCAAATAGACTTGTTACTAACAGAAGGCTAAATAGTTTTTATGTAAAGGTTTCCAAGGAATTATGACATAAAGAAGAATAATTTTGCAGAATTTAGGAAATCTTTTCATAGTTTTACAAAATTATAGTTTTACATAATTTTACAAAATTAGCTCCAAAATGGAAATATTTTCCTTGTAACAAGTTCATGATAATTTGTTGGATATAAAAGTTGTTGAAAAATTTCGTAAAATCTCTAGCATTGTGTTTTCAAACTAAATTTCTTAAAGAAATAATTAAAATTCATAAGAAAACCAAACAGTTTTTACTTTCCTAAACATCGTTTACAAAATCTTCGAAATTTTCTTTAAAAAATTTTTATTTAAAATGTTTGTCCCACTATACGTATGATTGATATTAATTAAGAGGAAAACATACAAATTACTCAATAACTTCAAAACTAATAATGATATTTGAAAAATTCAAAAAGATGTAGAAAGCTAAGACTATAAGCAGTAACAGTAATGAGCAAAATTTTACAACTTAAGTCTTCTTTTACATTTTGAGCCTATGTAAACCTCAGTTTATTTATTCAAGATTTCTAAAATGTCATAATTTTTTAAATTTATTAAGAAAATTTTCAATCTTTCAGCATTTATAGTTAAACAATGCTAATTTTACTTTACTTTCTAAAATTTACAAATAAACTTTTGACTAAAACTCCTTACTTTTTCAAAGAAAAATCTTAATTTAAAATATCTGCCTTGCAAGGCGTATGAATGATATTATTTGCAGGGTTTTGGCATAAAATGCTATATAGCAGCGGAACTATACAAGCGATTGGCAAAATTTAAATCACGTAGTAAGCTAAAACCACAAAGAATTTATTTGTAAATAATAAAACACCAAAATATTATTAAGTATTTCAATACTCTTTTAAATATCTGTAAATAACTAACCAACTATCAACTTTACTTTAAAAGACAAGTAAAGCTTTTAATATTTAATAACAAACTTCTAATAGTAATATATTCAGTTACTTCTTAAAAACCAAATTTGTGGTTTATTTTCTGAATTAAATTTCTAATTGAATATTTATGAAAATTCCCCACCAACCAACTTCAAACCACCAGCTTAAAATCAAACAAAATTGATGCTTAAATTTTAAGCAAGACATGCTTAAATAATTACTCAACAATATCTAAACAAAATTAGCTTTCAGCTACAATTATTTCCTCTCTCTCTTTATTCCCCCACAAAAAAAAAATCAACGAAAATCTTATTCCCTTCACTGCCCCCACAGTCGTTGCAAGAGATTATCACAATTTTTGGATTTCCTTAACATACCACGTTATCATAGTGGTCACAGCGGCAGTAGGAGCAATAATTCCCAACAACATTCTCCACAAACACCAACACCGGCCGAGAGGAAAGGCAGTAATGATGGTGGTGGCATTGAACAGGAACATCAACAACATCATTTGCAACATGGCTCTAGAAAACGTTCATCATGTGTCAGTTTTCGTAGTGAAATACTCTGGTTGGATTTGGTAAATGGAGAAATGAATGAGTTTAATGAAAGGTACACAGAAAAAAATGAAAAGGAGGGAATTTGGTAAAAGTTCAATCAAACTGATTAAACAGAAAGAAGGAAAAATTTATTCAAAAATTAAATGAAATCAAACTACTGTATAAGCCCCTAACTTGGTCTCACCTTGATTACTACCTAGGGTCTTTATATTAGCACAGTTTGGCTCCAGTTATGCTAAGTAGAATTAAAGGAGGGTCATTATACAATCTCAGTCAATAGAGGGTCACAACATAGTCCCTGTTAAGCTTTTTAAAAAGTTTGTAATAAAATCTTAGTATAGGTTTAGCTTTTAGCTCTTACATAAGCTCATTTCATGGTCCCAGTTCAACTTTTATAGAAGCTCATCATATAGTCCCACTTTATATTCTCTAGAAGCTCATAATATAGTCCCAGTTTAGTTTAGAAGCTCATTATATAATCTCACTTTATATTCTCCAGAAGCTCATTATATAATCCTAGTTTAGCTTCTATAAAAGCTCATTATATAGTCCCAGTTTAGCTTTTATAGAATCTTATTTCATGGTCCCAGCTCAACATCTATAGAAGCTCATTATATAGTTCCACTTTATCTTCTCTAGAAGCTCATTATATAGTCTTAGTTAAGCTTCTATATAAGCTCAATATTTAGTCCTAGTTTAGCATTTCAAAGCCCAGGTCAGCTTCTATAGAAGCTCATTTTATAGTCCAAATTTATCTTCCATAGAAGCTCATTTTATAGCCCCAGATTAGGTTCTTTAGAAGCTCATTATATAGTCCGAGATAAGATTGTGTAGAAGCTCATTATATAATCACATATTAGCGTCTCTAGAAACGAATTTCATAATCCCAGAGTAGCTTCTATAGAAGTACATTATATACTACAAATTTTGCTTCTATAGAAGCTCATTAGCTTTATGGAAGCTCATTAGCTTTATAGAAACTTTTATAGAAGCTCATTTCATGGTTCTATAGAAGCTCATTATATAGTCCTAGTTTAGCTTCTATAGAAACTCAATATATAGTCCTAATTTAGCTTTTATAGAAGCTCATTTTATGTTCCCAGTTTCGCTTCTATAGAAGCTAATTTTATTGTCCCAGATTAGGTTCTTTAGAAGCTCATCATATAGTCCTAGTTTTGCTTCTACAGAAGCTCATTATCGCAGAGTAGCTTCTATAGAAGTACATTATATTATCCCAATTTATCATCCATAGAAGCTCATTATATAGTTCCAGATTAGCTGCAATAGAATCCTACTATATTATCCCAGAGTAACTACTTAGAAGCCTACTATATAGTCCCAGATTAACTTCTTTGAAAGCTCTTTACATAATACCAGATTAGATTGCATAGAAGCTCAATATATAGTCCCAATTTTGCTTCAATATAAGCTCGATATATAATCCCAATTTCGCTTCTATAGAAGCTCGTTATATAGTCCCAGATTAACTTCATTAGAAGCTCATTATATAGCCCCAGTTCTGCTTCTATAGAAGCTCATTAAATAGCACCAGTTCATATTATACAGAAGCTGATTATATAGTCCTAGTTTAGCTTCTATAGAAACTTATTTTATAGTCATAGTTTAGGTTTTACAGAAGCACGTTATATAGTCCCAGAGTATAGTCTATAGAAACTAGCTATAAAGCCCCAAATAAGCTGCTATAAAAGCCTATTATATAGCCCCAAGTTAGCTTCTGTAGAAGCTCATTATATAACCCCTACTAAGCTTATAATATAGCTTTAATTTAGGTTCTATAGATGCTTATTGTATAGTATCAGTTTAGCTTCTATAGAAACTGATTTTATAGTCCGAGTTAAGCTTCTATAGAAACGCACTATGTTCCAGTTTAACTTCATTTGAAGCTCTTTAAATGAACCAAGTTTAGCATCCATGCTTCCAATTTAAGCACATTTTATTTTCCTTAAATATTGTAATCATAAAGTCTTGTTAAATTTAAATTTACTAAAATGTTTCAACAATACACATTGACAGAAATTTCGCATTTTTAGTACAACAGTCTTTTTAAACTCTTTAATTCGTTTAACCTTCAGCTGTATCCTTGAACTTTTTATTCCTAGTTGTAGAATTTTGAATTTACGTTTTCTACACTTGCTTTATTTTTTTGGCAGAAATATGTATTTCTGTAGTGATTCTGTATACGGCATCCAACAGCAAAGGTGTCAAAAAAATACTAAATATTTATACAAATACTTCAAACTATTGATTGATTTATAAATAAAACACACAAAAAATATTGTTTGAAACACTTTTAATAGAAAAATTATTTCTATTTTAAAACAGCAGGAATTACTTTAAAAAATCAATATATTTATTATATTTTTATAATCCCTTCTATTATCCCTCCTAATATAAATGGAAAATTTTCTTCTATTAAATGTTTTTTTCAATTATCAATAATCTAACTAACAGGGAAGTTTTACCTCAATATGTGATTATAACGGGTTATGTGTCCTTTTAGTAAGCAACAGTAATGTTTTCATTACTTTCCCTTTAACGACTCAAAAATTATCTATGACATCCTGCTATTTTCATCAATATTTCAGTCACTTTAACAATTTTCTTTTTTGCTCAGAAAAATTTAATTAACAAAAATTTTCAACATACATTTTCTGCTATTTTCCAGAAAAAATGTCTAACATGAAGTCAGGCAAGCAGACACTTTTGTTGGTTTTGTTTTATTTTTGCAACACTTTAGGGCCACTGAATGCATCAATCAGGACACTAAATATACAAAAGCAGATTATGGTGATGAAATCATAAAATGCATTTTGGTACATGATGGATGGCTTCATGTTAGGGTTGGTGTTCGAAATATGAAAGCAGAAAAATATGTCAAAAATTATGAAATTAAAAAAAGAACAAAAAAATATAGATTTGAAAGGATAATGATAAAATATCGTTTTTATAACAATTTACTTTAGAAGACCCAATCAGACAACAAATACCTTTACTTTCTTTGCAGACTTTACATCGCATTGTTAAGATTTCTTTTTAATTCCACCCTTTTTATCACTTTTAGATGTCCGACCCATAAAGATGATTATGGCACTCAACGAGTTTATAAGAAAACATCACCGAACTGTGTTTTAACTTTGTATTTGCCAACACGTGAAATTACCTTGTCCGGCAATAGCTCCTCCATCCTACAAGGTATTGTGTTTGTTGATCCCAAGGCTATACAAGGATATCGGGTTTATGCACAATTGACCTTAACGTTTCGGTAAGTAAAAGACAAATTTTTGAAATATGACTAGATTATGACTAGACTATGACTAGACTATGACTGTGACTAGACTATGACTAGACTATGACTAGACTATGACTAGACTATGACTAGACTATGACTAGACTATGACTAGACTATGACTAGACTATGACTAGACTATGACTAGGACTATGACTAGACTATGACTAGACTATGACTAGACTAGACTAGACTATGACTAGACTATGACTAGACTATGACTAGACTATGACTAGACTAGACTAGACTAGACTAGACTAGACTAGACTATGACTAGACTAGACTAGACTAGACTAGACTAGACTATGACTATGACTAGACTAGACTAGACTAGACTAGACCTAGACTATGACTAGACTAGACTAGACTAGACTAGACTAGACTAGACTAGACTAGACTAGATATGACTAGACTAGACTAGACCTAGAACTAGAACTAGACTATGACTAGACTATGACTAGACTATGACTAGACTATGACTAGACTATGACTAGACTATGACTAGACTATGACTAGACTATGACTAGACTATGACTAGACTATGACTAGACTATGACTAGACTATGACTAGACTATGACTAGACTATGACTAGACTATGACTAGACTATGACTAGACTATGACTAGACTATGACTAGACTATGACTAGACTATGACTAGACTATGACTAGACTATGTATGACTGACTATGACTAGACTATGACTAGACGATGACTAGACTATGACTAGACTATGACGACTATGACTAGACTATGACTAGACTATGACTAGACTATGACTAGACTATGACTAGACTATGACTAGACTATGACTAGACTATGACTAGACTATGACTAGACTATGACTAGACTATGACTAGACTATGACTAGACTATGACTAGACTACTGACTAGACTATGACTAGACTATGGACTATGACTATGACTAACTATGACTAGACTATGACTAGACTATGACTAGACTATGACTAGACTATGACTAGACTATGACTAGACTATGATAGACTATGACTAGACTAGACTATGACTATGACTAGACTATGACTAGACTATGACTATGACTATGACTATGACTAGCTATGACTAGACTAGACTAGACTAGCTATGACTAGACTGATGATAGACTATGACTAGACTATGACTAGGACTATGAGACTAGACTAGTACTATGAACTATGACTAGCTTGACTAGACTGATATGACTAGAGACCTATGACTAGACTATGACTAGACTAGACTAGACAGACTAGACTATGACTAGACTAGACTAGACTATGACTAGACATGACTATGACTATGACTAGACTAGCTATGACTAGACTATGACTAGACTATGACTAGACATGACAGACTAGACTAGACTATGACTGACTATGATAGACTATGACTAGACTATGACTACAGATGACTAGACTATGACAGACTATGACTAGGACTATTGACTAGACTATGACTAGACTATGACCTAGACGATGATAGGACTATGACTAGATATGACTAGATATGCTAGACTATGAACTTTAGGACTATGACTAGACTATGACTAGACTATGGACTAGACTATGACATGACTATGACTAGACTATGACTTAGACTATGACTAGACTATGACTAGACTATGACTAGACTATGACTAGACTATGACTATGACTATTACTAGACTATGACTAGACTATGACTAGACTATAGACTATGACTAGACTATGACTAGACTGTAGACTAGACTGTAGACTAGACTATAGACTAGACTGTAGACTAGACTATAGACTAGACTATAGACTAGACTGTAGACTAGACTATAGACTAGACTATAGACTAGACTGTAGACTAGACTATAGACTAGACTATAGACTAGACTGTAGACTAAACTGTAGACTAGACTATAGACTAGACTATAGGCTAGACTATAGGCTAGATATGCTAATTTGTATAATTTTATATTTGTATTTAATAAAATAAAATCCAAAATTTCAAGGTCTAATAGCTAAATTTATTGAAATTAGTTTAAAAAGTACGAAATAAATATGCTCAATATTCATTATTTTAGACATAATTTACTGATATTTTACATTAGATTGTATCCATAAGAAATTTTGAAACAATTTAACTTTTAATCCGTCTCAGGGTAGACAGGATTTGTTGTGTATGTATGTGTCCCTTAATAATATGTTCTTATGTCTGCCTTACAAATAACAATGACACGAAAACATTTTGTTCTAGAAGAAAAAATGTCATTTATTAAATCGTAACCTTTAAAAGATTTGTAATTTTACATCCCAATAGTTAGTCAGTTTGAAAGGACATAAGATAGAACAAATCCCAAGAAATACAACTAGGTCTTCAGCTAGGCTGATGTGTACTCCTTTGCCAGTATCTTTGTTGGGATTCGAACTCACGATCTCCAGTCTGACAGCAAAGTAAACTAATTACTAATCTAAAGGAGGCACAACTAGGTGTCTCAGATGAATGTTTGACTTACACCCACAACGTTTTAATTTCCTAACCTGTACTTCAAGTTTACGGTAATTGGACATGTGTATTATTCTGATTTGTATTTATTTAATACACAGAAAATTACCTACGCAGTTAAGGGAATATTCTCATTTTAAGTACTTTTTTTTCGCTATTTAATGTAGAATTAAAAAAGTTCTAAAAAGTAGATTTTGTGAGTTTTTAAGAGGATTTATTTAAATGATTGTGACTTAATACTACCAGGTTATCTTTATATTGTTTGCCCAAAGTCTTTAAATATTTACAAAATTTTTATAAAAAAGTGGCTACAAGTGAAGAGTCTTTTAAGCGGTAAATCTTAAAACAATTTTACAGGGAAGATAATGCCAAATGTAAATAAAAATAATAAAATTTTAAATATGTATTTAATAAGAACCAACTTTGTACAAAATTACAAAATTTCAGAAAGATTTTATGAAAATATACTTTGGTAAATAATTTAATTTGTTGTTCTTACAAGTCAACAAAAACTCTAAACTAATTTGCAACTGTTTGTAAACAGATGTTTGGACTCTTTTATATATTTATAATGTCATATTCTGCTGTTTCCTGTTTACAGCACGACAATTTTTAGATATTGATTACTTGGCTTTCAAATACTTGGCAAACCAGAAAAAATAAAAGAAACTGAATAGTCAAAGAGGACAACTAGTTGTTTGAACAACTCCAACCAATTTACTTACAGGCAATTATCAACAAGACCACATATGGCAAAGCAAATAGTCTTGTTACTAACAGAAGATTCAATAGTTTTTATGTAAAGGTTTCCAAAGAAACATGACATAAAGAAGAGTAATTTAGCAGCATTTAGGAAATCTTTTCATAGTTTTACAAAATTAGCTCCAAAATAGAAAAATTTTCCTTGTTGGATATAAAAGTTGTTGAAAAATTTCCTAAAATTTCTAGCAGTGTGTTTTCAAACTAAATTTCTTGAAGAAATTATTAAAATTCATAAGAAAACCATACAATCCTACTTTCCTAAACTTCGTTTACAAAATCTTTGAAATTTTCTTTAAAAAATTTGTATTTCAAATGTTTGTTCAACTAGACGTATGATTGATATTAATTAAGAGGAAGACATACAAATTACTCAATAACTTCAAAACTAATAATGATATTTGAAAAATTCAAAAAGCTGTTGAGACCTAAGACCATAAACAGTAACAGTAATGAGAAACATGTTTAACATTTTTAGTCTTCCTTTCCTTTTGGAGCCTGTATAAACCTCAGCTTCTTGGTACCAGATTTCTAAAATCTCAAAATTTTTTTTAAATTTATTAAGAAAATGTTCAATCTTTCAGCATTTATAGCTAAACAATGTTAATTTTACTTTACTTTCTATACTTAACTAATAAACTTTTGAGTAAAACTCCTTACTTTTTCAAAGAAAAATCTTAATTTAAAATGTCTGCCCTACAAGGCGTATGATTAATATCATTTGCAGGGTTTTGGCATAAAATGTTGTATAGCAGCGGAACTAAACAAGCGATTGGCAAAATTTAAAAACATGTAGTAAGCTAAAACCATAGAGAATTTACTTGTAAATAATAAAACACCAAAATATTATTAAGCATATCAATATTCCTTTAAATATCTGTAAATAACTAGCAAACCATCAACTTTACTTTAAAAGACAAGTAAAGCTTTTTATATTTAATAACCAACTTCTAATAGTAATATATTCAGTTACTTCTTAAAAAACCTATTTGTGGTTTATTTTCTGAATAAAATTTATAATTAAATATTTATGAAAATTCCCCACCAAACGAACTTCAAACAACCAGCATAACATCAAACAAAATTGATGCTTAAGTTTTAAGCAAGGCATGCTTAAATAATTACTCAATAATATCTAAACAAAATTAGCTTTCAGCTACAATTATTTCCTTCTCTCTTTATTCCCTCACAAAAAAAAAAAAAACAACAAAAACCTCATACCCTTCACTGCCCCCGCAGTCGTTGCAAGAGATTATCACAATTTTTGGATTTCCTTAACATACCACGTTATCATAGTGGTCACAGTGGCAGTAGCAGTAGTAGCAATAATTCCCAACAACATTCTCCACAAACACCAACACCGGCCGAGAGGAAAGGCAGTAATGATGGTGGTGGCATTGAACAGGAACATCAACAACATCATTTGCAACATGGCTCTAGAAAACGTTCATCATGTGTCAGTTTTCGTAGTGAAATACTCTGGTTGGATTTGGTAAATGGAGAAATCAATGAGTTTAATGAAAGGTACACAGAAAAAAATGAAAAGGAGGGAATTTGGTAAAAGTTCAATCAAACTGATTAAACAGAAAGAAGGAAAAATTTATTCAAAAATTAAATGAAATCAAACTACTGTATAAGCCCCTAACTTGGTCTCACCTTGATTACTACCTAGGGTCTTTATATTAGCACAGTTTGGCTCCAGTTATGCTAAGTAGAATTAAAGGAGGGTCATTATACAATCTCAGTCAATAGAGGGTCGCAACATAGTCCCTGTTAAGCTTTTTAAAAAGTTTGTAATATAGTCTTAGTATAGGTAAAATTACTGTCGATTAGAAGCTCAATATGTAGTCCCACTTCATCTTCTATAGAAGCTCATTATACTGTTCCAGATTAACTTCTATAAAAACTCATTATATATGTAGTTCCAGTTTAACTTTTATATAAGCTCATTTCATGGTCTTAGTTCAGATTCTACAGAAGCTCATTATATAGTCCTACTTTATCTTCTATAGAAGCTCATTATAAAGTCCCAGTTTAGCTTTTATATAAGCTCATTTCATGGTCCCAGTTCAGCTTCTACAGAAGCTCATTATATAGTCCCACTTTATCTTCTCTAGAAACTCATAATATAGTCCTAGTTTTGCTTCTATAGAAGCTCGTTATATAGTTCCAGTTTATCTTCTATAGAAGCTCATTATATAGTTCTAGTTTAGCCTCTACAGAAGCTCATTATATAGCCCAGGTTATCTTCTATAGAAGCTCATTATTTAATCCCACTTTATCTTCTCTAGAAGCTCATTATATAGTCCAAGTTTAGCTTCTATAAAAGCTCATTATATAGTCCCAGTTTAGATTTTATAGAAGTTCATTTTATGGTCCCAGCTCAACATCTATAGAAGCTATTTATATAGTCCCACTTTATCTTCTCTAGAAGCTCATTATATAGTCCCAGTTTAGCTTTTATAGAAGCTCATAATATAGTCCCAAATTAGCTTTTATAGAAGCTCATTATATAGTCCTAGTTTTGCTTCTATAGAAACTCATTATAAAGTCCCACTTTATCTTCTCTAGAAGATCATTATATAGCCGTAATAGTTTAGCTTTTATAGAGGCTCATTATATAGTCCCACTTTATCTTCTATAGAAGCTCATTATATAGTCCTAGTTTAGCTTTAATAGAAGCCCATTTCATGGTCCCAGTTCAACTTCTATAGAAGCTCATTTTATAGTCCCACTTTATCTTCTATAGATGCTCATTATACAGTCATAGATTCTTTAGAAGCTTATCATATAGTCCCAGTTTATCTTCTATAGAAGCTCATAATATAGTCCTAGTTTAGCTCCTACAGAAGCTCATTATATAGTCCCAGTTTATCTTCTATAGAAGCTCATTGTATAGTCCCAGTTTAGCTTTTATAGATGCTCATTCTATAGTCCCAGTTTATCTTCTATAGAAGCTCATAATATAGTCCCACTTTATCTTCTATAGATGCTCATTCTATAGTCCCAGCTTATCTTCTATAGAAGCTCATAATATAGTCCCACTTTATCTTCTATAGAAGCTCATTGTATAGTCCTTGTTTAGCTTCTATAGAAGCTCATCATATAGTCCCAGTTTAGCTTTTACAGAAGCTCATTTCATGGTCTTAGTTCAGCTTTTAGAGAAGCTCATTATATAGTCCTAGTTATCTAATATAGAAGCTGATTATATGGTCCGAAATTAGCTTTTATAGAAGCTCATTTCATGGTCCCAGTGCAGCTTCTACAGAAGTTCATTATATAGTTCCAATTTATCTTCTATAGAAGCTCATTATACAGTCCACTTTATCTGCTATAGAAACTTGTTATATAGTCCCACTTCATCTTTTATAAATGCTCATTATATAGTCCCAGTTTATTATACAGTCTCATATTACGTTGTGTAGAAGCTTATTATAAAATCCGAGATTAGCTTCTACAGAAGCTCATTATATGGTCCCAGAATAGCTTTGTTAGAAGCTCATTATATATAGTCCCAGATTAGCTTCTAAAGAAACTCTTTTCATAGTCCCAGGATAGCTTCTATAAAAACTCTTTATATAGTCCCAGTTTAGCTTCTATAGAAGCTCATTATATATTTAGTCCCAGCTTAGATCTTATAGAAGCTAATTTCATAGTCCCAGATCAGCTCCTATAGAAGCTCATTATATAGTGCAAGTTTAGCTTTTATATAAGCCTACTATATATCCCCAGATTACTTCTTTAAAAGCTTATTATATAGTCCCAGATTAACTTTTTAAGAAGCTCATTATATAGCCCCAGATTAACTTCTTTAGAAGCTCATTATATAGTCCCAGTTTAGCTTCTACAGAAACTCATTTCATAGTCCCAGTTTGGGTTTTACAGAAGCTCGTTATATAGTCCCAGAGTAGATTCTATAGAAGCACACTATATAGCCCCAAATAAGCTACTGTAAAGGCCCATTGTATAGCCCCAGTTTGGCTTCTATAGCTCCAGTTTATCTTCAGTTTTAACATATTCTATTTTCCATAAATATTGTCATCATAAAGTCTTGTTAAATTTAAATTTCCTAAAATGTTTTAACAATACACATTGACAAAATTTCCTCATTTTTAGTACAACAGTCTTTTTGTACTCTTTAATTCGTTTAACCTTCAGCTGTATCCTTGAACTTTTTATTCCTAGTTGTAGAATTTTGAATTTACGTTTTCTACACTTGCTTTATTTTTTTGGCAGAAATATGTATTTCTGTAGTGATTCTGTATACGGCATCCAACAGCAAAGGTGTCAAAAAAATACTAAATATTTATACAAATACTTCAAACTATTGATTGATTTATAAATAAAACACACAAAAAATATTGTTTGAAACACTTTTAATAGAAAAATTATTTCTATTTTAAAACAGCAGGAATTACTTTAAAAAATCAATATATTTATTACATTTTGATAATCCTTTCAAATATCCTTCCTAATACAAATGGAAAAATTTCTTCTATTAAATGTTTTTTTCAATTATTAGTAATGTACCTAACAGGGAAGTTTTACTACAATATGTGACTTTAACTGGTAATGTGTCCTTTTAGTAAGCAACAGTAATGTTTTCATTATTTTCCCTTTAACAATTTGAAAATCAATTATGACATCTTGATATTTTCATCCATAGTTCAGTCTCTTTTACAATTATATCTTTTACTCAGAAAAATTGAATTAACAAAAATTTTCCACATAAATTTTCTGCTATTTTCCAGCAAAAATGTCTAACATGAAGTCAGGCAAGCAGACATTTTTGTTGGTTTTGTTTTAGTTCTGCAACACTTTAGGGCCACTGAATGCATCAATCAGGACACTAAATATACAAAAGTAGATTATGGTGATGAAATCATAAAATGCATTTTGGTACATGATGGATGGCTTCATGAAAAACATGTGAAAAATTATTATATTAAAAGGAACAAAAAATATGAATTTGAAGGGATAATGATAAAATATCCCTATTAACACAATTTACTTTAGAAGACCCAACCAGACAACAAATACCTTTACTCTCTTTGCAGAATTTACATCGTATTGTGAAGATTTCTTTTTAATTCCATCCTTTTTAACACTTTTAGATGTCCGACCCATAAAGATGATTATGGCACTCAACGTGTTTATAAGAAAACATCACCGAACTGTGTTTAACTTTGTATTTGCCAAGTCGTGAAATTACCTTGTCTGGCAATAGTTCCTCCATCCTACAAGGTATTGTGTTTGTTGATCCCAAGGCCATACAAGGATAGAGGGTTTCTGCACAATTGACCTTAACGTTTCGGTAAGTAAAAGCCAAATATTTGAAGTTTATAGCTCAACTATGGATAGACCATGACTAGACTATGACTAGACTATGACTAGACTATGACTAGACTATGACTAGACTATGACTAGACTATGACTAGACTATGACTAGACTATGACTAGACTATGACTAGACTATGACTAGACTATGACTAGACTATGACTAGACTATGACTAGACTATGACTAGACTATGACTAGACTATGACTAGACTATGACTAGACTATGACTAGACTATGACTAGACTATGACTAGACTATGACTAGACTATGACTAGACTATGACTAGACTATGACTAGACTATGACTAGACTATGACTAGACTATGACTAGACTATGACTAGACTATGACTAGACTATGACTAGACTATGACTAGACTATGACTAGACTATGACTAGACTATGACTAGACTATGACTAGACTATGACTAGACTATGACTAGACTATGACTAGACTATGACTAGACTATGACTAGACTATGACTAGACTATGACTAGACTATGACTAGACTATGACTAGACTATGACTAGACTATGACTAGACTATGACTAGACTATGACTAGACTATGACTAGACTATGACTAGACTATGACTAGACTATGACTAGACTATGACTAGACTATGACTAGACTATGACTAACTATGACTAGACTATGACTAGACTATGACTAGACTATGACTAGACTATGACTAGACTATGACTAGACTATGACTAGACTATGACTATACTACTATGACTAGACTATGACTAGACTATGACTAGACTATGACTAGACTATGACTAGACTAGACTAGACTATGACTAGACTATGACTAGACTATGACTAGACTATGACTAGACTATGACTAGACTATGACTAGACTATGACTAGACTATGACTAGACTATGACTAGACTAAATATTAAAAATTATTAGGGATGGCAGAATCTACAGCCCAAAAAGCATACAGTTACCACAAGTGCTCGCAACATTACCAACAGAATAGAGTATTAATCCAGTTAAAATTTACTTCTTTAGGAAAAATTAAATTCTATTTACTTTTTTCCGATTCTATTACAGGACGCAAATACCAGATGTACCCTATCTCATACCAGAAATACGACTTATTGGGAACTGTGAGACATTAGTTCCAGATAAGCGATCTTAATCAAGCGAAACATTAGAGCAATCTGGTCATATGGTAATCTGTTATTACTCGAATGGCTATAAATAGGGAGACAAAACGGATCTAAAGATATGCATTGAAAAGCTTTCGGCCAGAAGTCCATTACATATTTTCCGACATCCATAAGGCAATTACTATGAAATCAAAGAGCGTTTTGGATTGATAGAAAGCCATAAATGAATACCTCTCCTGATCTGGCAACAAGAATAGTGGAATAGCTGTTAGGGACACTAAATTTCTATGAAGTAGCTCCAACGATATCAGTAGGAGAAGTTTCCTCATAATTCATAAATCCGTGGTTAGTATGGGTACACGTATTCTTAATGGAATCACAGGTTTAGGAAAAAAATGATATTTGCATGAAAATATTTTGAAATTTGTTGAGAATGTATTTCAGTTTGGCAGAAATGGTTTTCTTTCTTCAATTTTTACATTAATAACATATTTATTTTAAAATGTTTGTAGCCTACTATTACGCTTTGAAAATAATAGATTATCTATTGCATATTTTTTGGGAGTTAAAATTTAATTGTTTAAAATTATCTAATTTTTCGCAAATATTTTATTTGCTTTTTTTATATAAAACGTACACAAATCCATATCGTATATACAAACAAATATTCAAACACATATACACACAAACATACATACATGTATAAAACAGTTTGGCATAATTTGAGGCAACTAAATATAGTTTGACCTAGCAAACTTTGAGCTCTCCAGAGGTCATATTTGAGTAGTTATAAATTTCTTTTTTGCCCATATGGCCACATCTGTTTAAAACATTTATATGTATGAACAATGAAATAGTCATTTTATGTACTATGGATGAGTTAAGGCCACACCAAATGCGATCAAAAGAAAAAGGAATAGAAGAAATATGGAATATTGACAATATGGCTAAAAGAAAAACGAAAATATTAAACAATAAAAAGTTTAAAATTTTAAATATAAATACAAATATTACTACTATGTTTGAAGAAAATCACAAACTTTTTAATTCTTTAACAAATTTTTTATATCACAATGTTAAATGGACACTAAAGTTATACTTGTATTATTTCTATTCTATTTTAAGGCAAGAAACAGATGTCTACGTATGAGGAAAGAGAAACTGTAGAGCGTCAAAAGCAAACCCTCGTGAAGTACATAAGCAAAGCTACTAAGAAGTGATCCTAAACTGAAGTTGAAAACCTCCATATTAATGTTATTAATGCTAATAGCTGCCATGTTTGAGGACAATGAAGAAATTGTGAAAAAGTATTAAAAATTAAAAACAAATGATAAAATAATAAATAAACTATAATTAAATGTCAAGTTAATTTTTTTTAAATGAGTTGCATAATTTTGTTTGGTAGGTCTCTTACTCTAAAAATGTATTTATATCATTGATATAGAACTGCTAGTCTGGTGCTAATGCCTCCAATTTCGCATATCCTCGTCAGGTTCTAAACTGCTCGATAGGCATAATTTCATACAGTTTTGTAAGTTTAGTTCATCATTTCATAAATAATATATATAATATTAAATCTGAATATTCAGGCGGCCAATAAACATGTGATTTTCATAAGCATATGCGATTAAGTAAAAATATTGCCAAAGCCTTTACCGCTCATATATCGACAAAATATTAAATATTTTCACATTATTCTCAAATTTGGCTTTGGAAAAGAAATATTACATTTTCTATTGCTGAATATAAAATCAGTACTACGTATACGTAATATTACTTTCATAGGAGCAAAATCCACGTGCATCATATGACATAGTGTCCCGTTTATTTTCATTCTACAAAAGAAATATCTAGGAATACAACAATACTAACTAACTAACTAACTAACTAACTAACTAACTAACTAACTAACTAACTAACTAACTAACTAACTAACTAACTAACTAACTAACTAACTACTAACTAACTAACTAACTAACTAACTAACTAACTAACTAACTAACTAACTAACTAACTAACTAACTAACTAACTAACTACTAACTAACTACTAACTAACTAACTAACTAACTAACTAACTAACTAACTAACTAACTAACTACTAACTAACTAACTAACTAACTAACTAACTAACTAACTAACTAACTACTAACTAACTAACTAACTAACTAACTAACTAACTAACTAACTAACTAACTACTAACTACTAACTAACTACTAACTAACTAACTACTAACTAACTAACTAACTAACTAACTAACTAACTAACTAACTAACTAACTAACTAACTAACTAACTAACTAACTAACTAACTAACTAACTAACTAACTACTAACTAACTAACTAACTAACTACTAACTACTACTAACTAACTAACTAACTAACTACTAACTAACTAACTAACTAACTAACTAACTAACTAACTAACTAACTAACTAACTAACTACTAACTAACTAACTAACTAACTAACTACTAACTAACTAACTAACTAACTAACTAACTAACTACTACTAACTACTAACTAACTAACTAACTAACTAACTAACTAACTAACTACTAACTAACTAACTAACTAACTAACTAACTAACTAACTAACTAACTACTAACTAACTAACTAACTAACTAACTAACTAACTAACTAACTAACTAACTACTAACTACTAACTAACTAACTAACTAACTAACTAACTAACTAACTAACTAACTACTAACTAACTAACTAACTAACTAACTAACTAACTAACTAACTAACTAACTAACTAACTAACTAACTAACTAACTAACTAACTAACTAACTAACCTAACTAACTAACTAACTAACTACTAACTAACTAACTAACTACGAACTAACTAACTAACTAACTACTACTAACTAACTAACTAACTACTAACTAACTAACTAACTTAACTAACTAACTAACTACTAACTAACTAACTAACTACTAACTAAACTAACTAACTACTAACTACTAACTAACTAACTAACTAACTAACTAACTAACTAACTAACTAACTAACTAACTAACTAACTACTAACTACTACTAACTAACTAACTACTACTAACTAACTAACTAACTAACTAACTAACTAACTAACTAACTAACTAACTAACTAACTAACTA